AAAAAATTTTTTTTTTTTTTGCAAACTGTATTTAAATTGGCAAACATGAGAGTTAAATTATATAAAAATACAGATCTATGAAGTTTAAATATTATTATATTATATATTAAATATATATTATATTTATTATTATTATTTTTTCTTTTTTTTGCGTTCTGAGACATAGTGATTTATATCCCTCTCATAACAGAGCAGTATTGATACCCCACTCATATCAGAGAAGTACTGAACTACATATCCCCCCCCCCAATATTAAATGTGTTAAGTACATCTGAGATAATGTAGGGACACGTTAATATTTCATAAGTGATATGAATAATAATAATTATAAATGACTTTTTATTGATTGAGTCCTTTTTCAGTTTCAGTAAATTGACAACTAAATGTATTTTTTTTTTCAACAGACACTGTCATTTTTTTTTTTAAATGTAGAAAAAAATGTATCAGTTTTGTGTGATCACACAGAAACAGTAATTTTTTTTTAAATGTTGAAAAAATGTATCAGTTTTGTGTGATCACACAGACACAGTAATATTTTTTTAAATTGGAAAAAAAAAATGTATCAGTTTTGTGTGATCATACAGACACAGTCATTTTTTTTTTTAAATGTAGAAAAAAAATGTATCCGTTTTGTGTGATCACACAGACACAGTAATATTTTTTTAAATGTAGAAAAAAAATGTATCAGTTTTGTGTGATCACACAGACACAGTAATATTTTTTTAAATGTAGAAAAAAAATGTATCAGTCTTGTGTGATCACACAGACACAGTCATTTTTTTTTTAAATGTAGAAAAAAAATGTATCAGTTTTGTGTGATCACACAGACACAGTAATATTTTTTTAAATGTAGAAAAAAAATGTATCAGTCTTGTGTGATCACACAGACACAGTCATTTTTTTTTTAAATGTAGAAAAAAAATGTATCAGTTTTGTGTGATCACACAGACACAGTAATATTTTTTTAAATGTAGAAAAAAAATGTATCAGTTTTGTGTGATCACACAGACACAGTAATATTTTTTTTTTAAATGTAGAAAAAAAATGTATCAGTTTGGTGTGATCAAACTATAGCAATTGACCCGTTTTCCTAGGTAAGGAAATGAAAGGCAAATTTAAAAAGTAAAAAAAAAAAAAAAAAAAGGCCGAGCTTGCAAATGTAATCTTTAGAGTATGCTTTATTTTAAATCTCTACAGCAATTTTTTTTGAAAAGCTATAAAGCAGGTAGGGGGTCTTCTGTGCGTTTACTGTACAGTTGGTAGGAGAGTGCGTACCGTTTTCCGAAAAAGGTCAAAAAAGAGATTTGCAAAAGGAAAAATATTTTCATATTTTGCATTTCTCTTACCCCTCTGCAAAAAAATGTTGATCGAAGCGATTCGTTTTAGCCTTTTTATTTTCTGTAAAGGATTGGTTATGTGATATGAAAATGGGTATTGGGTTTAATCCTCATCGGTGTAATGAAAAAAAAAAAAAAAAAAAAAAAAAAAAAGGCGGCGAGAAGATAGCGTTGCCACTGCAGGCAGGTAAGATCGCTAACTTCTCCAAACCTCACTTTGCAATTAGCATAGTCGAGGCACCTATGCATTATGAAACCGTAGGCGATGTGTAGTCAACGATGAAATTTTTAACGGCTGCGGAGAGTTTTCATAGAGCTAAAGAAAAAGAATAAAAAAATATATATATATAAAAAAAAAAAAAAAAAAAAAAAAAAAAAGGACTTTACCTCGGCTATAAAATATATATATATGTACTGGAGAACGGCTTAAGGTGCGTCTTTTTGAAATGAAAAAAATGACTTCCTTATAGCCTACAGATGTAAAAAGGCAATATCAGTCCCTAAGTGGCACTGCTGCAGCCGGGGAGATCACAAGCCAGATGAAGCATATAAATTTCTTCTATGAACAATTGTTTTCATTTTCCTCCCATGTCACAAGATATTATAAGCAGAAAGTAAAACACAAGTAAATATGTTCATTTCACTCTTGTGATCAGTGATAAATGAAGGGCTATTGAGCTCGACAAAGGTCAACCCAAGCTGGGCTGAAAATTCCTTTTATTGAGGGCGCCCGTGTACGTACCTGCACTCCCACCAACAGGCGGCTGGCGGAACTGCGGCGCAACGCCTGCTTGTGCTGCTTACAGATGGCCAAACTCGACCTTCGCGCACGGCGGTGAAGCTCCGAGTCGTTTCGGGGGTTCGTTTGCTAAACGTTCACTTAGCTGAGGAATACCTAATTATTATATATATGTTTTTTTTTTAAAAAAAAAGTATTTTTACTTGCATGGGATTGGATGATTGAAGTTAAAGTGCAACTTCACTCTCTCAATCAACTAGTGCGGAATTGGTAGCGTTTTCAGTGCGAATTCCGCACCGCATCACAATCGCACCCCGTTCATGCGAACCGCTGCGGGTGTGTATGGTAACAACCCCCCGAAAGCGGTCCGCAAATTGCGGTGCGATGTGCAGAATCGGATTGCGTTGGGGTGCGAATACCCGTGTGATCTGATTCTAGTGTGGACTAACAAAAAAAGGGTCCTGCACCTTTGTGGTGCGGATGCAGTGCGATTTGACCCGTACAAACTGTACGGCTCCAATCGCACCACACACAAGTCGTATGTGATATGCACAGGAATGCGGTGCGGTTCCTGTGCAAATCACATGTGAAATGCACACTGCATGTATGTGAACCCAGGCTGAGCCCCGGGTTCACACTGATGCGGTGCGGAATTTGCAGCGTTTTCTGTGCGAATTCCACACCGCATCAGAATCGCACCCCCCCCATTCGTGCGAACAGCTGCAGGTGCGCATGTTACCAACACCCCGAAATCAGTCCTGCAAAATGCGGTGTGATGTGTAGAATCGGATCGCATTGGGGTGTGAATACCCATGTGCGGACCAAAAAAAAGGGTCCTGCGCCTTTTTGGTGTGGATGCTGTGCGATGGTGCGGATGCAGTACGATGGTGCGGATGCTGTGCGATGATGCGGTGTGATGGTGCAGATGCGGTGCAATGATGCGGTGCGATGGTGAGGATGCGGTGCGATGGTGAGGATGCGGTGCGATGATATGGTGTGATGGTGCACATGTGGTGCGATGGTGAGGATGCGGTGCGATGATGCGGTGCGATGGTGAGAATGCGGTGCGGTGGTAAGGATGCGGTGAGATGATGCGGTGCGATGGCGAGGATGCGGTGCGATGATGCGGTTTCGATGGTGCGGATGCGGTGCGATGATGCTGTGCGATGGTGAGGATGCGGTGCGATGGTGCGGATGCGGTGCGATGATATGGTGCGGATGCGGTACGATGATGCGGTGCGATGGTGAGGATGCAGTGCAATGATATGGTGCGGATGCGGTGCAATGATGCGGTGTGATGGTGCGGATGCGGCGAGATGGTGCGGATGCGGTGCGATGGTGCAGATGCTGTGTGATGGTGAGGATGCGGTGCGATGATGTATGTGTGATGGTGCAGATGTGGTGAGATGGTGAGGATGTGGTGGGATGATGTGGTGCGATGGTGCAGATGCGGTGCGATGGTCAGGATGCAGTGCGATGATGCGGTGCGATGGTGCAGTGTGATGGCGAGGATGCGGTGCGATGGTGTGGATGTGGTGCGATGGTCAGGATGCAGTGCGATGATGCGGTGCGATGGTGCAGTGTGATGGCGAGGATGCGGTGCGATGGTGTGGAAGTGGTGCGATGGTCAGGATGCAGTGCGATGATGCGGTGCGATGGTGCAGTGTGATGGCGAGGATGCGGTGCGATGGTGTGGATGTGATGCGATGATGCGGTGCGATGGTGAGGATGCGGTGCGATGGTGCAGATGCTGTGCGATGGTGAGGATGCAGTGTGATGATGTGGTGTGCTGGTGCAGATGCGGTGCGATGGTGAGGATGCGGTGCGATGATGCGGTGCGATGGTGCAGTGTGATGTTGAGGATGCGGTGCGATGCAGTGCAGGTGCGATGCGATGATGCAGATGTGGTGCGATGATGCGGTGCGATGGTGCAGTGTGATGGTGAGGATGCGGTGCGATGGTGCAGTGTGATGGTGAGGATGCGGTGCGATGGTGCAGATGCGATGCGATGATGCAGATGTGGTGCGATGATGCGGTGCAATGGTGCGATGATGCGGTGCATGGTGCGGATGCGGTGCGATGGTGCAGATGCGGTGTGATGATGCGGTGCGATGGTGCGGATACGGTGCGATGGTGAGGATGTGGTGTGATGATGCGGTGCATGATGCGGTGTGATGATGCAGTGCAATGGTGCGGATGCGGTGCGATGATGTGAGGATGCGGTGCGATGGTGTGGATGCGGAGCGATGGTGCGGATGCGGTGCAATGGTGCGGATGCGGTGCGATGGTGAGGATGTGGTGCGATGGTGCGGATGCGGTGCGATGGTGCGGATGCGGTGCGATGGTGAGGATGTGGTGTGTGATGATGCGGTGCGATGGTGATGATGCGGTGCGATGGTGATGGATGCGGTGCGATGGTGATGATGCGGTGCGATGATGAGGTGTGATGGTGCGATGTGGTGCGATGGTGAGGATGCGGTGCGATGATGAGGTGTGATGGTGCGATGGTGCGATGTGGTGCGATGGTGAGGATGTGGTGTGATGATGCGGTGCGATGGTGCAATGATGCGATGGTGCGGGGGGGGGGGGAAATGACTTGGTGTCACTGACATCCCCAGTGACACCTATACAGTGATCGGTGCTAATAAAAAGCGCTGACACTGTACTAATGGCACTGGGCAGGAAGGGGTTAATGTGAGGGGCAATCAATGGGTTAACTGTGTGCTGTTTTACTAGGGAGACATGCTGTGCAGAGCAAGGTCACAAATGACCTCAACTCTACTGAACACATTTGGAATGAATTGGAAAGCCAATTGTAAGCCAGGTCTTCTCCTCCAACATCGGTACCTGACCTCACAAATGACCTCAACTCTACTGAACACATTTAAAATGAATTGGAATGCCAATTGTGAGGCAGGTCTTCTCCGACCAGGGGCGGACTGACCATTTGGAAACTCGGGCACTGCCTGAAGGCCTGGGGTCAGTAGGGGGCCCCATGAGATGCCCCTGGTACCTTTTTCATAGGCTTTTTTGAGTTTGGGCAAGGACACAGGGGCCCCATGATCAGGTTGTCAGTCCACCCCTGCTCCTATCCCTCTTGTATTGAACTGTATTGTTGCTGTATTGTCTCCTGTTATATTGTAAAGCGCTGAGCAAACTGTTGGCACCATATATCCTGTATACATGAATCATTTGCCCTTACTCAAGATGGCCGCAGCCAGGAAAACTAGGGAGGTGTTTTCTAGAGTGATTTTTCAACAAAGTAAATCTTGGGGACACGGATCGATGGGCGGAGTTTGCTTGAATATTAAAAATGAATTAAATTGCGTTTTTGATGTCATATAGTTCTGCATTAAAGCGGTATTAAAGGAAATTTAAAAAGAAAAAAAATGTTTTTGCTTGCACATGCAGCTCACTTCCAGAAACGTTGTTGATGTCATGACATGCAGCTCACTTCCAGAAACGTGGTGCCGTCACGTCATGCAGCTCACGTCCATAAACGTGGTGATCTCACGGCATGCAGTTCACTTCCAGAAATGTGGTGCCATCACGGCATGCAGCTCACATTCTGAAACATGGTTATGTCGCGGCATGCAGATCATTTCCAGAAATGTGGTGCCATCACGGCATGCAGCTCACATTCTGAAACATGGTGATGTCACGGCATGCAGATCATTTCCAGAAATGTGGTGCCATGACGGCATGCAGCTCACTTCCAGAAACGTGGCCCCGTCATGGCATGCAGCTCACTTCCAGAAACGTGGTGCCGTCATGGCATGCAGCTCACTTCCAGAAACGTGGTGCCGTCATGGCATGCAGCTCACTTCCAGAAACGTGGTGCCGTCATGGCATGCAGCTCACTTCCAGAAACATGGTGCCGTCACGACATGCAGCTCACTTCCATAAACGTGGTGATCTCACGGCATGCAGCTCACTTCCATAAACGTGGTGATCTCACGGCATGCAGCTCACTTCCAGAAATGTGGTGCCATCACGGCATGCAGCTCACATTCTGAAACATGGTGATGTCACGGCATGCAGCTCAGTTCCAGAAATGTGGTGCCATGATGGCATGCAGCTCACTTCCAGAAACGTGGCCCCGTCATGGCATGCAGCTCACTTCCAGAAACATGGTGCCGTCATGGCATGCAGCTCACTTCCAGAAACGTGGTGCCGTCATGGCATGCAGCTCACTTCCAGAAACGTGGTGCCGTCATGGCACGCAGCTCACTTCCAGAAACGTGGTGCCGTCATGGCATGCAGCTCACTTCCAGAAACGTGGCGCTGTCATGGCATGCAGCTCACTTCCAGAAACGTGGTGCCGTCACGGCATGCAGCTCACTTCCAGAAATGTGGCGCTGTCATGGCATGCAGCTCACTTCCAGAAACGTGGTGCCGTCATGGCATGCAGCTCACTTCCAGAAACATGGTGCCATCACGGCATGCAGCTCACTTCCAGCGCATATATCCATTGAGCGTTTTTAGTGGTCATACCCCTTTAGCACCGGATGGGTTCAATGCATACAGTATGTATAAGTATTTGGATTTGAGCACAAACATATTGTTTCTATTCTTTAGATCAGCCTTTCTTAAAGTGATATTAAAGGCATTTGTGTTTTTTTTTTATTTTTTTTTTCATAAAATAACATACATTTCATACAGAGCAACCCCAATCCTCCTCTTCTCGGGTCCTCGGCCCCCTCCCTCCTGCCAAGTGCCTCCACAGCAAGTAGCTTGTTATGGGGGCACCCAAGCAGGCGCGCTCCTGAGCCGCTGCTTTGCGTGTCCATTCACAAGCAGAGGCGAGGTTCTGCCCCACCCCCTCTCTTTTTCCTCATGGGCTTACTAGCCCATCCAATGGATCCCAATGCTGTCTCAGTCAATGAGTAGAGAGAGTCCCCGGAAAGCCGAGATTCTCATGCACATCTCTGGATCGCAATTGAGCTCCTGTAGGTATTAGGGAACCTGGGGTGGGAATCCTTACCTTCATGCATACAATGCCTAGAAAACCTTGAGCCCCCACTTGAGACCCTTTTGGGAGGAGGGGACGATGACCATAAAACTTTTGACATCTGTCGACGTGAAAGAGGAGACCAACGCGTATACTCCGCCTAATGGAAAGACCCCCCCGGAAATACAAGAAACCCCTCACCATCCACGTACTCAATGCAGCGAAGGCATGCGTTCCCACTCTCTGAAGGCAGCCCCCCCCCCCCAGAGTCCTGTGGTATTCCAAAGTGAATGATCTCCACCAAAGGGAGGAATTAACAGCCACCCTCCATAATTCGGAAAAAAAAAGGTTTAGGGAAAGTTGGAGATGCCCTGGAGGTATTTTACAAGAGGTGGCCCAATCTGAGTCAGAGTTGAACTGAGATGCTCCATCTATCCAAATCTGTTCTGGAGGTCCTATGTGGAATAGTTCCTGTCCTTGAGCGCACAGACCTGCACTTTTTAGCCCCCACCCCAAAGTTTTTTTTTCTCTCTACCCCCTTCTCTTACTTCGTATTCACCTTTTGCCTCTTATCTGCTATAGTAAGTAAAATGGTTGACTTCTCTATTATAGGGTTTCCCTTTATTTATTATGGCATTGATCATTTCAGCAAACCTGTTATTATTGTATGTTCACTGTTCCTGTGTGATTAGTTATGCTCTCATTGTTTGATTTCCTCACAGGCCGCTTGACCAACCTGAACTGTAGAGCAGTGCCGGCACTGTCCCCAAAGCTGTACAGAATACTTTACCTCTGGGTCAGGTCTCTCTTCATGTCCTCTTTTTGCCCATTCTGTACTTGAAGTTTTGGAAATATACATGACTGTTGATGTCTTGACATGTTGTATATGAGAAGCCTTGCCAAAGCAAACAAAAAAAAAAACCTTGAGCCTTAAGAACCACTTTAACCTTTTTTAACATGAAGGAACCCTTGGATTTACTACCTAGGTCCTGGGAACTCACAGTATGTAAATGTGATGGTCAGGGAGAAGAATGCTCCTTACATTTGTGGTCATTGGGAAGAATTACCTCCTTACAGATAACTGAAAAGATCAATGGTGTCAGTGGTTACTCATCTGAGAAGCAGAAGTTGATCATTCAAGGAACCCCTAGCAAGCCCTGGAGGAACCCTAGGGTTCGACAGAAACCTGGTTGAGAAAAGCTGCTTTAGACCCACTTTAACCTTTTTTAACAAGAAGGAACCCTTGGATTTACTACCTAGGTCCAGGGAACTCTTGCTAATAAATACAACTCACAGTACGTTGAAGTGATGGTCAGTGGGAAGAATGCTCCTTACATTTGTGGTCATTGGGAAGAATTACCTCCTTACAGATAACTAAAAAGATCAACGGTGTCAGTGGTTACTCATCTGAGAAGCAGAGGTTGATCATCATTCAAGGAACCCTTAGCAATCTCTGGAGGAACCCTAGGAGTTCGACAGAAACCTGGTTGAGAAAAAGCTGCTTTAGACCCACTTGAACCTTTTTTAACAAGAAGGAACCCTTGGATTTACTACCTAGGTCCAGGGAACTCTTGCTAATAAATACTGCAACTCACAGTACGTTAACGTGATGGTCCGTGGGAAGAATGCTCCTTACATTTGTGGTCATTGGGAAGAATTACCTCCTTACAGATAACTGAAAAGATCAATGGTGTCAGTGGTTACTCATCTGAGAAGCAGAAGTTGCTCATCATTTCAAGGAACCCCTAGCAAGCCCTGGAGGAACCCTAGGGTTCAACAGAAACCTGGTTGAGAAAAGCTGCTTAGACCCACTTGAACCTTTTTTAACAAGAAGGAACCTTGGATTTACTACCTAGGTCCAGGGAACTCTTGCTAATAAATACAACTCACAGTACGTTGAAGTGATGGTCAGTGGGAAGAATGCTCCTTACATTTGTGGTCGTTGGGAAGAACCTCCTACACTTGTGGTCATTGGGAAGAATTAACTCCTTACAGATAACTGAAAAGATCAATGGTGTCAGTGGTTACTCATCTGAGAAGCAGAAGTTGCTCATTGTTCAAGGAACCCCTAGCAAGCTCTGGAGGAACCCTGGGTTCGACAGAAACCTGGTTGAGAAAAGCTGCTTTAGACCCACTTGAACCTTTTTTAACAAGAAGGAACCTTTGGATTTACTACCTAGGTCCAGGGAACTCTTGCTAATAAATACAACTCACAGTACGTTGAAGTGATGGTCAGTGGGAAGAATGTTCCTTACACTTGTGGTCATTGGGAAGAATTACCTCCTTACAGATAACTAAAAAGATCAACAGTGTCAGTGGTTACTCATCTGAGAAGCAGAAGTTGATCATTGTTCAAGGAAACCACAGCAAGCTCTGGAAGGAACCCTAGGGTTCGACAGAAACCTGGTTGAGAAAAGCTGCTTTAGACCCACTTTAACCTTTTTAACGTGAAGGAACCCTTGGATTTACTACATAGGTCCAGGGAACTCTTGCTAATAAATACAACTCACAGTACGTTGAAGTGATGGTCAGTGGGAAGAATGTTCCTTACATTTGTGGTCGTTGGGAAGAATCCTCCTTACACTTGTGGTCATTGGGAAGAATTAACTCCTTACAGATAACTAAAAAGATCAACGGTGTCAGTGGTTAATCACCTGAGAAGCAGAAGTTGATCATTGTTCAAAGAAACCCTAGCAAGCTCTAGAGGAACCCTGGAGTTCGACAGAAACCTGGTTGAGAAAAGCTGCTTTAGACCCACTTTAACCTTTTTTAACATGAAGGAACCCTTGGATTTACTACCTAGGTCCAGGGAACTCTTGCTAATTAATACTGCAACTCACAGTACGTTAACGTGATGGTCAGGGAGAAGAATGCTCCTTACATTTGTGGTCATTGGGAAGAATTACCTCCTTACATATAACTAAAAAGATCAGTAGTGTCAGTGGTTACTCATCTGAGAAGCATAAGTTGCTCATTGTTCAAGGAACCCCTAACAAGCTCTGGAGGAACCCGAAGGTTCAACAGAAATCTGGTTGAGAAAGGCAGCTTTAGACAGCCAATGG